TCGAACGAATGTTTATAAACGAAACCGCGATTGTGTTAATATCACGTCGACCTGATACAGGTGGATCACGTGTACAGTTACGGACGTGTCGGCCATTTTTATTATGGATGTTCATTATTTTACTCAGTCCCTCCCTCAAAGTGACCGCCAGGTTGCCCAGTATGTCCCAACGCGGAATGCAGATCCTGTGTTACCATTGGCACACGTGTGACGACCTGGTGTGCTCGCGCTCGCTCGCCTGGGTGTGTTAGGGGTTTAGAATTGTTAGCAGATTTTAGGGGAAAGGAGTACTTGAGTAAAAACTCCCTCATCTGTTAAGGTTTCTTCTTTGGGAGTTGTTCTTCCCATGATATAAATACTTGATGGAGAGATTGTCCACAAGTGTGAGGAATCTCGTCGCCCTGATGATGGAAGCAGGAAACACCTGTGAAACGTCGATTGACTTCTACGAGACTACTCGGTGCAGTGTTTTAGAAGGCTGTCTGTCCGTTCCCTCTCGTCAGAGGGCTGACGGGCCGACGGGCGCTGACTCTGAGTCATGCGTTCTGCTTGCTTAAAGCTGCAGATTAAGATCGTCCTTGTCTCGCCAGAGGCCGTTGCAGATGTAGCAGCTGTTGCTCCTCTCTTCAGCAAAAATTGACGTTCGTCAACACTTTTAGAGTTGCTGAAGCCCCTCGCTGACAGTGACAAAGGGGACCGAAATGGCCTTCATGTCAGTCCGGAAGCTGCAGACGGAGTTCAGAGCATACGAAGGACCCGAGCAAAGAAATTTGAGCAAATATGAAATGGATCCGGTCTCCACAAGGCAAGACATGTAGCACGCAAGATGATCGCTGATGTCGTCACTTCAAGTTCTCTTTTCGAAGTTTTGTAGTAATTTTTTATCTTATCTCCTCAGGGGCAGGGGTACCCAGTGACAACCCTGTCTTCGAGGTATATAAATACGGAGGCCTGGTCCTCCAGGTTGGGGGTTGGGCGTGGGGCTAAGATCCCCATCCCGTAAAAAATAAAAAAACTTTAGGAAAGATGAGAACCAAGCCTCGGATATATGACGGAGTCGTCGTAGACAACCTGGCGTTGCTAAGGAACTAGAGCCTTAAAAATTAAGGCCTGGTGGATGAAAGCACGAGAAAGAGTTGAATGGAGGAGAGTTCTCCAGGAGGCCAAGGTTCATAAAGGGTTATAGAACAAGAAGAAGAAGAAGTTGTATCTGTGGTTCGTCCTTTTTAGCTGAGAGAAAATAAATCATGGCGTTCCTCACTGTGTTGCGTAATTTCGTCCGAACCTGTCCATTTGATCATACGTGAGTTTCTTTCGGCGCTAAGTGACCGAACAGGTGCTCAGCGCTATCAGACGCCTGCAGCAGAGATTATGCACGAGTCTTCGGGCGCAAATGAAATTTTCTCCGGGAGACAGCCTGTGGTTAAGTGACACGCATTTTTATTTACATAATAGGCCTGCGGGGGGGTGCCGCCGGAGATCACAACGAAGGAACAGAACACATACGTCACGGCGCTGGCATGGCTGGGCCATACAACCGGAAGTTACGTAAATTGCCGAGGTTCGTTTTCTACCAGGTCCGCGAATCTTATTTCTGGGGATGTCGCGCCTTGTAATCTGGTAGAAGTTCACCGACGTTTCAGAGGAACTTACGGCCACCACCATCGCCCTCATGACGGAGGTGGTCAACAAAAGTAGGGTGAGATGGGCGATGTATGTAGCATGCATTAAGATATTATAATTGTTTACGAGATTTGAGTAGGGAAACCTGAAATAAATGCAATCTTGGAAGACCTAGGTGTAGATGGAACGATAATATTAGGATAAGTCGAGGGATAACAGGTTGTGAGGATGTTGACTGGTCCAGTGGTCTGCTTTTGTGAGCACGGTAATGAGCACTCTGAATCTGGGAAGGCAGTGGAATTTATGGGCTGTCTAAGCGACTGTTGGCCTCTTGGCTTATCAGAAAGGAGTTTGCTGAAATCTCTCTCCTGTTCTGTTCCCAAAATTTCAGGACACATTTCGTGGTTTCAAGATAAGCAGTCAGTTCAGGGATATCCGCCATTGCGGAGGAAACGCGCAGGTTCTGACAGCTTCTAGTTTCCAGGCAGCGTTCATCAGTAAGTAATCGGTTTCAGGCTTTAATTGAGGACGTGAATTAATCTGTATTCCTATCTCGCTTCCTCGTCGACACAACTTCTCCCGCTGTAGAGCAGTTGTGCAAATCCTGGCATGTTGCAATTAGCAAGAAACATCTGGTTCACTTCTCGTCAGTGGCGTCCAACACGCACCGGCGCATCCTGATCTGTCCGGACACCTGACCGCCAAACTTCGCTGTAGTTCATTCATTAATTGTCAAATGTTAAGAGGCTTCACGTGTGAAGGTTTTTATTTAGCAGAAACCGGGTTTTAGACATCCCCGTGACATTTCACGGGAAAGAGAATTCGGTCAATGAACAAACGCCACTGTTTCGGACAAGATTAAATGACGTCAGACGTCTGTGGGGTGACGCGTTTATCTGAATATTTCGTTGTCACTGAATGCGAAATATTTCGCTCTAGTGACTTAATTATATTTTTAATTATTATTTTTTTTCGGTAAGGAGAATTTCGCGAATATTTTCCCTCGTTTCAGTACAAAAAGGTGATTTCTGCACAGGGCAAATGGTATCAATTAGTTCGTACCATTATTTAGATTTGTTTCTCGTTTTTAGGAGTGAAGGAATTTGAGGTAAATTATCTTGCAGAAACTTCTTTTCGTTGTTTTAAAAGGTTAACAACATTTAGAAGTAACCCTTTGTAATGTTATATTTGATTAATCTACGACCGCTTAAAATCTTGAAGCTTCAAAAATTTGCATTTGACAACTGTTTGTGAGGTTTTGCCACGAAAATAAATATTGGCCATATTGGCCGAGTAGGAAGGAGCCCTGTAGAAGGCAAATGTTTGCTCTCAACGACGCCAAGTTACGTACGGGTAAAACAGAAAGCCGGTATGTGGTTTCTGCAGACCGAGCTTTGATATGGCAGTGGTGGCTTTGGCATTCGGTATGTACGGTCTGTGAGATTTTTTTTAAAATTTAATAGAGTTTATCACAAATAGAACGAAAATCAGTGTGATTCGGTGCGTGTAAGATGGGAATTATTCCCTGTCATTGAAGGTTTAAATATTACTGCTTTCGAACTGCATGACGGGGCTAATAAAAGTTAAGTGAGGAGAGACGTTGACCCGAGGTGCTCAGCGAGTTTCAGAGGCGCGAGAGATTTGAGGTTCTGGCGGCTGAAGGCGTCGTTTCTGGTCAACATCGACGAATTTCAGGAATATTCCTCCCTGTGCACGATTTATTATAGCGGCTTCGCACGTGCAGCAACATGAAGAAGAAGAATAAGAAGAAATGTGCTTTAATCGTGACACAGCAAGATTTGCATCAGCAACAAATGAAGAGCGAGGCAAATGAGATGTAAAAAAATTGCAAACAACGAACTTTGGTGTTTTTTTTTACCCTCGTCCGTCAAGGCCCGTCAGTGTAAACACACCAGTGACAAGGAAAGTACGACATAAAGATTGAATTCCGTGCATTAGTGTTAAGTATTTTGGAAGAGGATTTCTTTCGGAACAACTTTTAAAGTGAACCAAATCAACCAGGAAATTTTTTATATTTCGGCTGATTTTGAATGTTCGAATGTTTCCACAGGTTCTTTTTTCGTTTTTTCTGTGCCGAAAGATCGCGGAGGCAATTTTACCCCAGTCTACACTTTAGCTTCGTTATAACGCAGAGAATTATTTACTGAAATCTTCGCAGAAGTGAAAATTTCAATTGGTGTCTTTTTACTATGCGACACCGCGCACTCTTGTAGGTACTCACCAACATTTCAGAGGAACATGTCGCTTTCATCTTCGGGATAGAAGCGAATATGGAGGCGTCAAATTCCTCTGAAACGTTGGTAATAACCTTCAGTTTGTAAGCCATCAGAACCCTGTAAAACCACAATCCAATCGAAACAAAATTGTAGATTGTGATGGATTTTGGAAGAAACTTCACAAAATCTTAGTGAACCACAATCCAATCGAAACAAAATTGTTGATTCTGATGGATTTTGGAAGAAACTTCATAAAATTTTAGTAAGGACACTTGAAAGACCTAAGCGTTGATGGGGCGATAATATTTAAATGTAATTAGTGTTTGAGAATATGAACTGGATTCGCCCTATTCGGCACTGGAGTCAAAGGCGAGATCTTGTGAACAGGGCGAAGAACCTTTGTGTTCCCTATCACCCGGGAATTTCTTGACGAGCTAAGTGACTATTAGCTTGTCAGGCAGGAGTGTGTTCGGTTGGATTTAGAAAATCCCCGTCTTGTCTCATCACGTCTAGTTCTGGAACCATACAACCATATGAACAATCACTAGTGACTGTTCATGTACATCTTCAATTGGAATTTTTACATCAAATTGTTTCAATGTAGTGCATCAGACTGCTTTTCCGAGACAAGTCTCTTATTATTCGAATGTAACTTTCGTGTAAAATCCGTAAAATTACAGTCATACAAATTCAACCGGTAGACTAACGTAAACCGGTGAGAAATCAGCATCATTTCTCAAAAGAAAATAAGGAATGATATTTTAATGACACCCCGCACGAAGTCATTTAATTATTCATTGTACGTGCTTCATGTAAGCTGTCTCTGTCCCACGTTCGTTTAATGTTGGTTAAATCCTTTAATTATAATAATTACCGGTGAGGTTGTTATATATCCAAGGACTTTAAAGTCGTCTGTCAGCGTCGTCTCGCTGGTTAGAATCTCAAATGCCGCTGAATTGCCTTGTGTCGTCCTTTGTTTTCTTAATTACAGTCGGTACACCTCGAGAGCACAGCTTTTTCAGCTCAACACTCGGTGTAGAATCCCGGGGACTGGATCCAGAGACCTTCGGTTACAGAGCAAACAAGATGCAAGTGAGATGGTAGGTCTTACTGCTAAGAAATATATTTGTTGGCCCTTACCTTCCAGTGGATGCCTTCACTGTTCGCAGGTCACGTGCTTCAACACAGCAGCTGGAGTTGGTGTCGTTAAAAGATCTGCTCCGATCTGCAATTGGTCTTGCATCACGAAAATTCGGGTTATATTTGGCTGTTCGTCGCCGAACTGAAGACGCGCGCGCCAAGATACGGCCCGTCCTCGTTAGAATTACCGGATAATCGCAGGCCTGCCGTACATCAGCTTGTCTCTCTGCGTTACCATGGCTACTACCACCTACCTCCACGGCCACCTTGATGGTTCGGTAAAGACTGCATGATAGCAGAGCTCTGCGGTTGCAAATACTACAAGATACTGGCCCCTCCCTCCCTCCCTGCTCGCTCAGCCACTGCCATCTCCTCTCATTCTTGATCTGTGCGGATACCTGGTCATCTTTCTGTCCTTCTCTGTAATGGAGTCTACTATCTGATTTGCGGGCTTCGACTCCGGCCATTACTTAGTTAGTTTGTTTGTTTTTTTGACATCTATTGTGTGAGTAGCAGACACCATTGTTAGTTTCGTCGACAGGGATGTTTATCGGGGAAGCGATATGTTTAGGACACCTAATATCGACAGTAATATAAGTCGATATCAATCACAAATCGTGATGAACTTGTCGTTTGTTCCTGTTCCAGCATTACACTTCGATGAGTGCTCGCTCTTTGGCATTGGCTGAGATAGTCGTGAGCCCTTAACTAAAGTTAGCGGTAATCGTCGTAAGCGAGCCCGGACAACGTGTGCCTGAGGTCGCTGGGTTCAGCTGTCATCGTAATTTAAGGTTCCAGCAAAGAACGATGATAAATCTTCAGGAATAATTTTCAAATCTCGACTGTGATTCTTCGTCCAAGTAAATTATATTAGATGGCTGTCTTCTGGGTTGCAGACTACACGGCGCAAAACCCCAGAAGACAGCCATCTTCAGATTCACCGCCATTAAATCCTACACAAAAGCTATAAAAATTTCTGCGTTCCTTCCAGATGACGGGAAGCTGGGCAGTTGGACGCCCCAGGGGCCCGGGGGCTCCCTTTTGAACTCAGGCGTCGTTAAACTTGTCACACTCCCGTCAAAACCAGTCACTGCAAGTCTTTGTCGCCAATTATCAAGCAGTCTAGCACAGTCACACGCTCCGAATTGTAAATTTGGCTGGCCAATCAGAGAGCTCTGTCTCTGATCGCGGCCAACCTATGGCATGCGAAAAACGTCTCACACTTTTGAAGTCGGAGGGAGGAGTTTAAGAGATTACTTAATCAGGCATCTCGACGCCTTCGCCCTCTACATACACCCGACAGTGGACGGTGTTCGCGGTGATGTAGGTATGTCGGCCATTGTGGCAACCCGCGACTTGTTTCAGTCATTCCTGGTAACTCCTGTAACGTTTATGTGAACGTCGGACTTCGCTGCTACACGATCAGAGTTCTCAGAATTCGTAGCGAATTTCTTTGGTCCTCAGGTCGCCGTCATTAAGTGCATTGCAAAAACGGGGAAGAAGGGACGTCACATGTCACTCACTGACAATCACATGTTTGTGTCACAATAGTTAAATGCTCGCTTAATCACGAGCTGTTGTTGAAGCCTTCGGGCTGTTTTACGAATAGCTGTAAACAGTTGCGACATCTAGCGGCATCTCGCGTAAATTGTCAGCAAGAACAATCATATTCAGCTATTATCATTCTTCCGAGTTTCTTCCAACGATGAACACTGCAAGAATTCCATAACCTTCGTTAAAGACTGGCTGCGTGGGCAGGTTCCGAAGGCTACTTCGACACAAGAGACTGCAGTCAACAAAAAATTGAAACATCATTGTTAAACAGAGATCGTTAATCGCCTTCCTGGTATTATTCAGCAGATCTGACGCCAATCAGACGAACTCCATGTAGTCTTTATTTTAGAAGCTGACAGTCGCTCATGTGGTCAATAAATTTCCAACATTTTACAGAACCCGAAGGTTTGATACTTGGTATCTTATTTCCGTAAGTCTCGTTTTAATATTACCTGTTAATTTTCGTTTAGGATTTCTGAATGGTCACTTCAGTTTTTATGTTTCCCCCGATTGAAATGTACTCGTGTCTTGTCGCTGCCTTGTGTGCTACATGTACAGCCCAGCTCATGTGTAATCGCCCTAAATAATATTCATTTCTCTGATGCAGAGAGAAAATTGTGAAGCGTTTCATTACACAGTTTTCTGGGTGTTCTGATATTTGCAGACTTCCTCGCGAGTAACCTGTTTCCAGACTCCGTCCATCTTACTTCAGTTTTCTGTAAATTCAGTTTTTTAACCGCAAACACTAATTTTTAGTGACTTAAGTCGCGTGGAAGAAAGCTTCATCAGGGCCTCATACACGGCGTTGAAGTCTCTCAGTCCCCTGAATGTGTATGTGACACGCACGTCGGTCAGTTAACCACTTCTTCTTTGGACACCCCGTGAACGAGAAGACTTCGGCAAAAACGAAGAATAATAATGTTCGATCCTAAACAGTATTTCAATACTGGAGACAAACATGTAAGAGGTGAAAAGCCCTTTGAAATTTGAACAGTAGAGGACGCCATCTAATGGAAAGGCAAACAGACCGGAATTAATGAGACCTACGTAGGATCTGAGGTTTTCAAGGCGGTGAGTCTGAAGATGGCCGTCTTGTGGGCTGTTGCGCCGCGCAGTCTGGTGGAAGTTTACCGACGTTTCAGAGGACCTTGCTGCCTCCATCATCAGGGCGATCATATCAGATATACAGAAGGACATTCTGGCACAACACTTGAAACAGGGCGAGGCTTTAATACAAAGCATTTTCCACACTAATATGTTCTGTTCGGGCTTTGTCTGTCGTCTTGATATTTTAAGGAAACTCACTGTTTCGGAACTTGGTTTTACTTTCGTCTTCAGGTGAACCTGGACGTGGTTACAAACTTTTTCCGCAGAGGATCATAACATCTCCGGCTTTTGTCCTCCAGTCACCTGAAGACGGAAGTACAACCGACATTCGAAATGTTTATTGACACCTAGACGATTTATATAGCTCCCCGCCCCCAATAAAAAGCAGAATGCTTCGGTCCATCGTCAGAGAAGCTTGAACTTTGAACGCCGTGCGAACAAACAGTTGTCAGCGAACCCACAAAACCTCCACGAACTTAACCCGTCCAGTCTCCGGTGACGTCACTTCGCCGTGATTGCTAATTACCTATTCTGCAGGCGAAGGAAGGATTTACGGTACCTTCTTTTATCTGAATGCTTTTAAATTTGCATACGATGGCTAAAATGAATTAAACTACAGTTACGATAAAGCGGTCTCTTTCTGGATTTGTGCCCAGTGTAGTACCTTACTTTGGTGTGTATAAACGTTTCGGAGATACATTCTGTGCCCATCTTCAGGATTGAAGATCTGTGAAGTCGATTTTAACGGACAAAGCTAAACTCTCGCTGGCTTCAAAACCTCAGATCGTGGATCGATCGGTTTCTGTTTGTGTCTGTCTGTCTGTCCATCCGTCCGTCCTGTTCTCAGACTCCCCCACTCCCGCCTCCGTTTTCACACTCGCATGCTAATGGCAGGAAATGCGTTATGATTGGGCTAAGGCTCGGTTCGCAACTATTTATGGAATCTTATGAAAAGAATCTCTGGTTTGCTCTTAAACACTTCACTCCTGAAGTTATATATTTTTTTTTTTTTGGATATAAAATTTGTAATTGGTAATGTCAAAGGTTAAATATAAATAAATTTGTTCTCTTGCGACAGAGATTCTTGATTGTTTGAATCCGAAAGACTTTGTTTGGTTTGCATACGAGATGGGTTATAACCAAGAATTCGCAAACGTCAGAGAATCGACGTGACTGTCTCTTATCTCACAGACTTTTGAATATTTCCCCCCATTTCGCAACTCGTCCGCAGGTGGCACTATCCCCGAAGAGCCGAAGCTCTTTTAAATATTATTTAAGAATTCGGTCCGTACCGCGAAGAAAACACGAATATCGACTGGTTAACGCTGATTAAGGAAATGATCGCTGTTTATTCTGAGAATCATACGAAACACATAGATAAAAAATTGCGAGTTACTGATTGCTAAATTAGGTGGTAAGTATACTTACCACTGGGCTTAAAAAAGGGTTAAGTTGTGCCCTTGTGCAGTGCCTGCCTAGGCCTACTTCAGTTGTTCTGGAGGCTGTGGAGGGTACATTATTTACTGTGCCAACACTCGAGTGTTTGAGGGGTGCCCCCCATTGTCTAGCGCGGAGGTTAAGGAGGGAGGCAAAAAGACGGCTTGTCTTTATAACCTGGCTTTGCCATTAAGATGCAATTTTATGCTGTGCTGTATTGACTGAGCTACCGGTTTGAGGTTACTGCATTGTCGTAGGGTCTCGACGGATGGTTCTTAAAAATTACTTTTCATGAGTAAGGAGTTCTTATGGCTCCGTATTCCTTTTATGGCAGTGGTACAGTCGTTGACTTGCCTGTCATCAGTGGTATTTTTTTGTACAGAATGCATTTTAAAATTGTTTCGAATCCCGTCTTACATACTTTTTACTGTGGAACGCAGACAGAACATTGCTCGCTGGGTCCCTGTATCGTTGAAGGGCGTTGTGTTAACATGGAATGAGACGATTACATTGCAATGGAAGCAGAGGTTGCCTGTTTCAGTCGCCAGGTGAAATTGTCAATCTACTGACTGTCCCGAGTTTCGAAGCGAGGTCCGTCTGCGTTAGGTTAGATTAGGTTTTCATACATTGAGACAGGAGACGTGGAGAAAGGAAGTTCAGAACTGAGTAGAACTCTTACGTAGACGTCGTGGCACTTCAGTGAAGAAAAACCACCCTTAGCCGATCGCACTAGCCCCGCGGTCTTCTGCACTCCGAACGCCACTACCACGGGTTCGAGTCCTGCTCGAAAGGTTGTGTACGAGCTACCCTGTGCATGTGCAGGTCTTGCGATGGGCTGACCCCCGTACAGACTGCCCTTCCAACTGTGTCGGGCGCTCGGTGTTTCGCGCGTGCCCAGTTCTGAATCGGTAAAGACCATGGGGTTAAATTCGCGAGAGAAGAAATGTCATTATTACAGACCAAGACATTTACATAAGAGCGGTGATGCAAGTCGCCTTGTTGTATAATTGCCAGAACCTGTTTTCCATGAGAAATATCAACTGACGTGTACCTGCTGGAACTTCCAAGTCTGTGAGGGTCTGGTCCAATCTGAATCATTCTGAGAAAACTCCGACGATGTATCCTGACCACGACTGACTCCGTGGAGTGGAGTCCGTCTCGACACACCAAGAGTCCCTCAGCTAGACAAGAAATCCTCCGTCTTTTATGGAACCCAGTAGTTCATTATCGTGCGCGCAAA